CTTCCTGGTGCGAGCCCTCCAGCCCTGCCTGGGGCGCGCCCGCCAGCCCTGCCCGGCGCCTCCGGGCGGCCTTGCCCAGCTCCTTGCTAGTTGGGCCCTGAATTGGGCTGGCCCAAGGCCTGACCCAATTCCCCTTGACCTAATTGTCCACTATAAATAGAATAGTGCCTCCTCCATGAATGGGGACCTCTCCGAGACCTTTCCCTTGGACTCTTCCCCAAGTGGCTCAGCCGCCACTAAGCTTCCCCTTGGCTCAGCCACCGCCCTATACTCCGGCCGGGTGGCTCAGCCGCCACCCGCCGTCGTCAGCCACCATACACCACCACTAGCACCAAGATGGTCCTCTCTAGCTAAAGAGAGCCATCTCAGATCTTCTAGCTGATCTAACTTGACCGTCGGAGTCCGCTCCCGGGGCACAGTCCCTGGGGCGGCTTTAACGACTTTGCACTGTGACATCCAGATCTCCGCCGTAGCAGAAGACCAGAAGCATTGCCGGAGGTCGATGTCGCATCAGGTTCCTTTTCCTTGTTTGGATGTGGGATTATAAGTATCAGTTATTTGTTCGAGTGTCATTTAAATTTTACTTATATATATTTGTATATGTATAAAAGTATAAAAGTTAGTTCATTAAGTTCAACTACTCTTTGTAACATGTTGAGCAAGGGGTTGCATTCATGAATACTCGTTATCAATTCAGAAAGTACATATAAATTATAATAGGTATAATTTATGATTCACATAACATTAATTCACGATTCAAGTATACTAAAGTACATTGTTTTACAAGAACAAAGGTCTGATTCAAAACTAATCACGGATATACATCTTTCAGATACATGTTAAGAATACTAATTCAAGAACATACTGTCAATCATTATTTCAGAATGATTTGGGTTTTCATAACTATTATACATGTAACGTTTATATGCTTTTTATGAGTCAATTGATACATGTTGTTTAATTCATTTAAACAATATAGTTAAAGTCCTGACATTATAACCAGAATCTCCAGCCAGGGATCGAAACAATGTGTGTATAGATCTATATTGGGATTGACAACCCCGCACTCGGACTGCTAGCTACAGTCAGGCATACACGCCTACGAGTGATAGTTGTTATCATCAGCTTTCAACGCATTCATAGCGTTGGGTCAGGCCATCTAGTCAGTATGGTTATAATAACTCATTAAAAAGATATTAATAATATGTTAGTGTATAAATAACTAAACATAAGTACATTTTCAAAGTACTAGTTTACAAGATACAATTTACAGTATTACATTACAGTTTACAATAATAGTTGATGAAACCAGGCACACTCTCAGTTACAAGTTTACAAAAGGATTACAAATACAGAACATTGGTTTACAAATAATACAGTTTTATGTAACTAAAACTACTTTTCATATACAGCAGAAAATATAGGATTTTCTGGAACAATTTACATATTCAAGAAACAGAAAACATTCTTTCAAACATAAATACTTATGCACTCACTCAACTTTATGTTGATACTCTCTTTTCAAATTACTTGTATTCTCAGGGAACCAGTAGATAGGTACTCCCCCCGTGCTTTTGAGCAGATGGAGCTATTTATGTCTTGTCTTCTTCTTTTGTATAACTATTTGGTTTCAGTATACAATGATGAAACACATGTAAATACTTATACTTTTTAAATACAGTGGTTGTTTGTACTCTGATTACTATAATGCATGTGTTGTGATACTACAAATGAAGTCCTCCACCCCGGACGTTTCCGCCGTCTGGTTTGGGGGTGTGACAGAAACATATTAGATACTATATGAGTTGTAATATTGTAATTTATTGGTTATTTTCAATTAAGACAATTATTAACTGAGGTGTAAATATGACGTGTTAGTTAAGAAAAGATAAAAAATAATGACAAAATGACAAATGGAAAAAACATTTTGTAACAACGTAAATTTCCAAAACAATTTTTTTCATTTTTAAAACATACTTTTATTCATAAGGTAATATCAAAACATAATGTATCCAATGTTATCATAACAAAGCATATCCCAGAATCTCAAGACATAAACTCCATGAGTGTGTACGGATCATGCCGGCGCCTTCCCGCGATCCTCGCTAGTACCTGAAACACATAACACAACAACTGTAAGCATAAATGCTTAGTGAGTTCCCCAAAATACCACATACGCACATACGCCACTCAAGGCTATAAGACCTTCCGGTCACTGTGTCTCAGAGGACTTCCGTCCCATAACCCTGGTAGACCTTCCGGTCCTACCCGTAATGACCTTCCGGTCCATACCATCATGACCTTCCGGTACACATCATAATGACCTTTCGGTCCTTCTCATTCATAACATACATAACACATACATATCATATAAAAACATACAACACATACATCTCATATCATATAAAACCTTCCGGTCACACATAGGTACCATCCTAGGTACAGTATAGTGAGAAGACTCACCTCGTGCGAAGTCGGATAAACTCTCGTGCTTGACGTCCCGACCTAGCCTCCTCCTATCATACGAATAACATTCCTGATCAATACCCTCTCATAGCCTCATCTCTAAAGATTGGGTAGAAGGCCATCCTACCCCTCCCTGAACTCTCCTGAATCAGCTTGACCAAAACCCTAAGGTCAACTGAAGTCAACGGTCAAACTTTGACCCGACTCGTCGAGTGCACATGGGCGACTCGGCGAGTCCATGCGGGTCCTCAGAATCCTTCTAGCCTCACTTGGCACGTCGAGTCATCCTTCAACTCGACGGGTTACACCTGTCACGAATCGCGGGGCAACCCCGACTCGACTCGTCGAGTCCACTTATGAACTCGGCGAGTAGCGTCCATGGCAACACTCAAATGACCTTCTGAGGTCAGATCCGCTTCTCTAACCTATAGATCTGCCCTCCCCATTTACAATAATCACGTAAAGGTCTGACCTTTACACTCATGCAACACACATAGGGCTCTCTTTGGTGAAATCATCTCTAAAAAGGCAACCTAAGATCATTTCTTCCATGAAACAACATAAAGCAGGTTGGATAAGGCTCTTTGGACCTCTAAAGGTCCAGATCCAGAGTCTAACACTCAAAGGGACAATATACTCATCATTTCAAGCCAATAAAAGGGAATAGAAAACCCTAAATTCAAGGATCTCATACTAAACAGAAGAAGGGATCGATTTACTACCTCAAAGTTGCAGATCCAAGCTGGAAACCCACAGAATAGCAATCCCCTTGAGCTCCTCTTGCTGGAAACACCTTCTTCTTTGCAAAATCACACTAATAAGGATCAAAAAGGCTCTCTCTCTTATACCACTCGTTCAAGCTCTCTAGGGTTTCTCTCTCTGGACTGGTAGCCACAATTGAGGGCGATAAGGACCCTTAAATAGGGCACAGGCCCAAAGATTTAGGGTTTTTGTCCACAGCGCGGACTCGTCGAGTCCACCCATCGACTCGTCGAGTCCCTTCATTAATCCAGTCAGCAAATTGCGATCCTACTCGACGAGTCTAGGCGTCAACTCGTCGAGTCCCTCCTCATAACTCAAAATAAATGAATAACATAGAATACCTGGGAATCCGGATGTTACACATTTATTCAAAAATACCAAAAAATGACATGTGTCCAAGTTAATGAGAGAGTGACATGTGACAAAATTATTTTCATTTATTAGGGAGGATATATATATATATATAATATATATATATATATATATATAGAAAGAGAGAGAAATGATCATTTGAGAACTCAAAGTTTTCCGAAAACTCGAGAACTAAAAGTGGAACGTTTGATCAATTTTTTGGACAGATTAGATGATTAGTGACATACTTTTAAATATGATGAAATTTAATGATATATTAGGTTTTTAGCAATAGACCACAGGGATAAATCTGGTACACAAAAAAATTTTAAAAAATCAAATTACCTTAATTGAAATATCAATTAGCCTCTCTCTCTCTCTCCCCCTCCCTCCCCCCCTCTCTCTCTCTCTCCCTCCCTCCCTCCCTCTCTCTTTCTCTCTCTTAATGTATCGTGTTCTTTACCCGCATCCTCCGCTCTCCGTCAACCACCTCCCTCCGCCCTCCAACAACCACCATATCTCCATTGAAGATCCTCGACGATTGATAAATTGAACAACGCGGTGACTGCGTCCTTCTTCTCGGAGTTTCGTGCCCTAATAATGTTGGATTAATGTCTAAGTCCATAACTATAATTGGTAAGACTTGACCCGACCCGACATGGTCCATTTGGGTTGCATGGCATCATGCATTTGGATAGACTATAATGAGAGAAATAACACTTAAGGTTGGTTAATATATTATAAGTTCTAATATATTAATAAGGTTATTTAATTAGTATTGATCAAGAATTAATTTGGAATTAATTAAGTGATCAAAAGGAGACTAATTAAATATATGGGTTGATTGTGTAAATCATTCATTCTTATATATGTGGGCTTGTGATCCAAGATTCCTTATGTTGGACTAAGTCCATGGGGTGACCCCATGGATACTCCATGGAGGTTAAAATCCATGGAGCATAAGGAATGGGTAAAGTTATGAGTTACATGGTGTAACCCTAATAGCCACCATATAAAAGAATCCCATGGCTCAAGAAATCGTGCACTAATGTGTGAGTGTGAGGGCTAGACGATTTCAAGGAGTGTTCAAGTTTCTCTCAAGTTATTCCAAGTGTATTTGGTGTTGTGTGAACCATTTGAGGTGTCACACTTGGGGCACTAGGCACCCAAGCTTCATGAAGACATTCTACATCAAAGAGGTATGTATTCTATCTTGTTATATTTATTATTTTGTATGCTAGATTAGGATAATACCTTGGATGTTCATAATTGTATGTATAATAGAGAAAACATAGATCCAAGGTATTTAGGGTTGCATGTACACTTAGGAGTGTTAGAATGCTCATAACCCAACAAATAAATCAACCAACGATTGCATGAAGATGTTGTAACAGCTACAATGATGTTCCGATTGTCAATTGATGGAGATCGCACCGGCGGTGCTAGCCGCACATGACGGAGTCAGAAAAACACATGATTCTTCATCGGATTCTTCTACTTCGACTGTTCCCGTTAATAACAATAATATCTCGAGCAACAGGTACGATGATGGCAATAACGAAGAGGAAGATGCTTTTCGGATCTGTCAGAATTCAGGAGACGCTGACAATCCAATCATATATCCTTGTGATTGTAGCAGGAGTATTAAGTTTGTTCACCAAGACTGCCTTCTCCAATGGCTCAATCACAACAACGCTCGATAGTTTGAGGTTCATTTACCTCTTTTTCCTTAATATTAAGTGATTATTTATACTATCTTCCTAAGTGCTGAATTTTTTGGTTAAAAAATGTATTAGGATATTAGGTTAATTATGTTTTGTGGTTCTCTTCGTTTATATACAAAGAACTATGACAACTACAGACTAAGATTACATCAATTGACTGCAACAATTGTCCCTTAGATGATAAATGAGTTCATATAAACTATGAGACCATGTAAAGGTTTGAGGTATCATATGTTAGTGGCTAAAAGTTCAATGTGGATGTATTCATCATCTTTAGAGGACATAATCCTTTAACTTAATCGAGATAGAAATTATTTTATTATAGGAGAAGGTAAGCTAACATTCTTGTAGACTAATGAGGAAGCAAATGAGTTCAATTGCTTTATTATGTGGCTTTATTTTCTTTTCTTCATTTTTGTTATCAGAATGTGTTGTAGGTTTGCAAGCTCCCATTTTCATTCTCCCTTGTTTATGCTGAGAATACCTCGACAAGGCTTCTTTTTCAGGAATTTGTTATTGGAATGACAATGAAATCAGTTCTTCCTAAGGCTCACTTTTGTGCTTTCTGTATGGCTTTTGACCATACCATTTATAACTTTCGGGTATGGCGCTTTTCATTTGTTAGAAGTTTTGGTGAAGTTGAAAATTGAAAGTTGGTTGCTAAAATACACGACTAAAATAAAAGTATGTCGATGTCTCTTGCATTTAACCTTTTTTGTTAACTAGTTTGATTAAGTTATTTCGGAGGAGTTTTCCATATATACATCCTCTTTTCAAAAAATTTTATCCAGTTATTCTCAGTTGATAAGCCTTACAACCTTCAATGTTTTTACTTCCATTGTGACCTTGTTCGAGGATGGGGAATGGATATGAAACTTGGCTATTGTGTACAAGTGAGTTTTTATATGTTCTTTCTTTTTTTTAGTTGGTTTTAAAATAAGTTTTTATATTATATGTAAGAGTATTATACCTAATACTTTTACATACACTATAAAAAGTTTAAAGTTTCATATAAAAACTCAATCCATGATTGATTTTTTTATTTACTTTTTTCATTTCTATATATGAAGTTGGCTTAACACCACAATGATCGAAAATGGAACGATTCTAACCACAAACGACCTTGATGGATTTGACAAGGTAATTTTTTTCCTTTTTATAATTTTTTTTAACTTTTTACATTTTTCACATATGAATTACATGTAATCACATGTAATTTACATATGATTTACATGTGATTCACATGTAAATCACATGTAATTCACATATGAATCACATGTAAATCACAAGTGAATCACGTATGAATTACATGTGATTCACATGTAATTTACATATGAATCATATGTGATTCACATGTAAATCACAAGTGAATCACAGATAATTACATGTAACTCACATGTAAATCACAAGTGAATCACATATGAATTACATCTATATGCATACATGTATTTTGTGTGAGTGCTCTTCGTTAATTATTTTTTTTTTAAATTTTATTGTGAATTTCACATTTGAATCTTAAAAGATACAATCAGATGTGAATATCACATTATATAATCACATGTAAATCTTACATGATGTATACATATGCATTTTTGGGTGGATATGGATTCCAATTATTCCACCGTAATGTAACTCGATTCTATTACACAAGATCATTTTCATCTTTTATTTCCAATTAATTACTGTTTTTTGGTTCTTGGCCTAATACAAAATACTTCGTTAATTATTATTTTTTTTTCAAAAAAAAATTCTTATGAATTTCACATTTGAATCTTAAGAGATACAATCACATGTGAATATCACATTATATAATCACATGTGAATCTTACATGATATATACATATGCATTTTTGTGAGTGTTCTTGTATTAATCAATTTTTTTTCTTGTAGATTCGGAAAAATTTGTGGAAAATATTGAAGAGGTGAAAAATGATAAACTGAAAAAAAAATATGGAAATTTTGACACGAAAAATAAAAATGCTTTGAAATTTTGTAAATTTTTTGTTTTTTATATTTTATTTTGTATCGAATAAAATATTTGTACTATTGTGTTTATAGATTAGTTAAAAATGGATTTTTATGATTTAATTACGAATATTATAGTATAAGAAATAAGCATATATGCATTTGAAAAAAACATACATATATGCACCTAAAACGTTGATTTTTTGGTTAAAAAAATTATAGTTTTTTTTTTTAAATATTCCAGTTTTTTTATTTAATTTATTGATTTTTAAAAATTTATTGTTTTAAAAAAATTGCAGTTTTTAAAAAATATAGATTTTTTTCATTTTTTCTAAAAATTCATGTTGTATAAAAAAAATCTGCATTTTTTTAAAATCGAAAAGTATTATTTTTATAAAAAAAATCCTAAAATTTGATTTAAAATGTTAAAGGTTTTTTTATTAATATTCCCAATAACATAAAAAATTAAACATTAAATTAAGTTGGTAAGATGACGATCACGCCCTTACGAGTTAATTTTGATCTAACGTTCCACCTTTAGTTCTCAGGAAACTATGAGTTGTCAACGGATCACACACAAACACACACACACACACATATATATATATATATATATATATATATATATATATATATATATATATATATAATTCTTTTGAATATTTGTTTAAGTGTGCCGATATGAAGACTTTTTGTTTCTATTAAATTTCAACTCTTTAGAACAAGAAATGTGTCAAGATAAATGATTAAGATAGAAAATTAATGGATTTCGCATGCCATTATTTTATATGAGTAAGAAGATATTTAATTTCTTTTAAATATATTATGTTATTTATGTTTTCTTGGAATTTCGTCCCTTAATTCTGATGTTGCTAGTGCATCTTTTTTCCTATCGGTTTTCTTCTCTGTATTATTTTGATATAAGATTCTTTCTACTCACACTTGATGGCTAGGGTGAGCAAGAATATCCTTAGTGTCGAACCAAATCGTAAATCATTAACTAGGTTAGTATTCGGTTCCTCAAATGTCCAATTTTTGGTTCTCGGCGCTATTGTGTACGATACTCTTGGGTTCCGGGTAAATTTCAGTAATTTTATGTTTTTTAACTTTAAACATTAATAGTTCTCTCATAAAAACTTGAATTTGGTTGATTTTTATCATGCATCTTCTTCTCTGTATTGGCTACATGTTAGATTAAAAAATCAACTGATTTGAATAAGTATAGTATAGGTTACATAACCCTAAACATGGGTAGTTGAAAACTTAAATCTTCTAAACTTGGTAATTTTTTTCTTGCAATACTTGTGCATATTTTTTTCTCAATTTTAAACACTCATAACTCTCTTATATGAACTCAAGTTGAGTTGATTTTTCTTGATGCGTTTTCTTCTCTAACTTTGGCTACATGCTAGACTCAAATTCAGTTGATTTGGATAAGTATAGCTTGAGTTACATATGGGTAGCTGAAAACTTAAATTTTCCAAACTTTGTAATTTTTTTTTACTAGACTTGTGTATTTCTTTTTTTTCAAATTTGAACAATCATAACCCTTTCATATGAACTCGAATTGTGTTGATTCTTTTTCTTATGCGTTCTTATTTGTCTTAACTTCATCTCAAAATCAAGAGTTTCTTGTATTGTTGTACTTAAGCTTGAGTTCTAAAGCCTTAAAGAAAACATGTTAATGGTTAATTTTGTACTAATGGCTTTAGAGAATCCACTATAAGAGCTTTTGAAAGAGCCTTTAAAACAAAAAAAATTCTTGAAAATTACTAAAGCAAGCAGTAAGGCTTGTTAATTAACAAGATGTTATTATTAGTTTGTTTAATGATTTGTTGGGTTCCATATATTTATAACAAGTTGTAAATAAACAACTTATTGTAAGTTCTATAAACATAAATATGAAAATTAAAAAAAGTTCATCTATTATGGAGATAAAATAAGTTTTTTATGCAAAAACTCCAACCAAAAATTCTCATATATATATATATATATATATATATATATATATATATATATATATATATATATATATATATATATATATTATATATATATATATATGGAAAAATGTTTATACCCTTAAGGGTATATAAGCTTAGGTACCTAAACTCACCATACTACGTCGTTTTGTATTATATATACATTGTAATTGTCCAATGTTCTTATAATTTAACTTCTAACTTGATTTACTTCCAAGATTTTTATAAATTTCATATTTATCTTCCTCTTACATAATTTTCATTTTCAATTATAATAGATATAGCCTAGTAGGTGTTCGGCACAAAGATATGATGTAAGAGGATGATAATAGTGAAATTTCGAAAATCTTGATAGTAAATCAAGTTAGGGCTTGAATTTTAAGAACATTATAATTAATATATCAAACAAAACGATGTATAATGGTGAGTTTGGGTACTTCAGCTTATATACCCGTAAGGGTATATTCATTTTTCATATATATATATATATATATATTATATATATATATAAAGAGAGAGAGAGAGAGAGAGCTAGGTTCAAATGTGGATTGACATCTATTGTGCGGACATGTGGACAGTGTTATTCTGTGAGAATGACAAAGAAAATATGTTGTTTGGTAATGTGAATACGTTCAATCTTACATAACTATTGTCATTATCACACATTCTCACTAATTAAATCGTCTATAAGGTTATTATAGACTTTTTTATTATTATTCCCATTCTGTCATAATGTTTATTGAGTCGTATTCTGTAAGAATGAAAATGAGTAAAAAAACGATGTGTGAGAACGAAATTGAATAAGAATTAGTGAGAATGCATGAAAATGACGATAGTTGTGTAAGGTTGAACGTATTCACATTAGCAAACAACCTATTCTCTTACTAATTCTCATAGAATAGCGTTGTCCACGCGTCCGCACAATAGTTGTACATCAACATTATAACCTAGCCCTATATATATATATATATATATATATATATATATACACACACATATAAAGTGGTCTCATGTTTCAAGACAAGTTTTCAG